TCTGGTATCAGCAGATAGATCTTTTTGAGATCTTTCATTTAAAAAAAAGTTCAACTCAATCCGATTTTTTGCTCAAAAGTTATAGGCAGTTGAAGGTTTTGTCTTTGACCCCCCGCCCCCCCTCTCTGGGGGGGCCTAAGTCAAAATGACCGCCATATTTGAACGTCTCGCATGCTACTGTATCACTCCTGAAAAGATGGATCATATTTGATAGGGGGCCAAATCTAATGGGGGATGGAACAACCTCTTTCTCATTCATTTGTTATCATCAGATTATCTGGCTATTATTGACCTCCCATTTAGTCCTTAAGTGAAAGTTTAGCAATTCCAAAAGGAGTGAAAATAAACACATCCGTGATTACTGAGGCACAATGATTTACTTTCTCGTCAATAAGCTATGTAGGTACAAGTTCTGGTAAAAGTGCGATCGCAGAATAATGCCGAACATTTTGGATCATTGAATATGTACATAATGAATTGTATCTTATTACTTCTAAAAATAAACATATTAATTACTTAAAGTATCATTGATTAATTAATACCTTGAATACATATTACATTGACCGGGATTTGAAGCACCATAAGAAATCACAAACATGGGAGAAACCCTAATTTTTCTTCATTATTCTTCACTTTCACTTAGCATGATAAAATTGGATTATAAAAATTGACTCAAGATCCATTAGTTCAGAGCAGCAGGAATTTACTTGCTTACTTAATTGATTTGACCCCTAAATGCGTATTTTATAGTTCTCCTTTTATTTACATCTATTTATCTATTTAAATACAACAACACTTAAAATGAGCTCCGCGAGAGACAATTAAAAAAAGTAGATTAGAGAAGCATATTACACTATTAATTGATAAGGAAGAATTTTTGCTCTGTTTCCAGTTACTCCCATAGATATTACGAGCCAAAAACTTGACTTAGGCCTCACTTGAATAATACTTGATGAGTGTTTCTCTCCAGACACAGCCGCCAGCCCCCCCCCCCCCCCCCCCCCCCCNNAATAATGGGACCGATAAAGTGGTGCGTTATCAGCGCATCTCAGTCATTGCATTCTTCTAATCACAGGTATATATAATCTAAGATTGGTCAGAACATCCAGAGATTGAACTGCGGTTGTAAATACCTACGTATAACGGACCATACTATATCACTTCCTCTTTGCTGCCTCTTGCACCGTCCAAGTTTCCGATGCAACCATGTCAACACGTCTCTCTCGCCACTGTAAGGCTACAAATGAGATCTTTGAGAGAGTGCTTGGCCCTCTTTTTTTATTTGTAAGAAATGAGAGGGGCAAACTTAACAGAGGCTAGGTTTTCCTATCCTCGGTTTTTTTAAAGCCAAGAGGATTTCACTTTTGTATCTTCTCAGAACCGAAATCTCGCAATTGGCGTGGAAAAATTAGAGCAAACCTATTTTTTCTTTTAAAAAAAACCGGGTCTTCGATTTGAGGAAAAGGCCATAAATCACCGCTAAGTGCAAAATGTAATCTCTTTCTCAACTATTCTTCTGGTGATTGCCTTAATGAGTCATTCCATACTGGTGAGTCGTTCCTAATGGAGTATTTTGAACGGATCAAATTATTTGAATTTCACGATTGAAACGTCTGATCTTGTCACAGACCGTGGCTTCTTCGGCGCTGATCCAGTATTTCATGTCCTCCGTGAAAGGGTCGAGCGGTTGTTTACGCTGCTTCCGGCGATAGATCCCTTCCTTTCGTTCGAGGACACAATTCATCTGACCCTCCGATATAGGTATCTCGATGAAATCAAGTAAGCTCCTCAAAGTAGAGCTCACGTTTGCGACGAGATCCTCATAGAGAACGATATGCATTGGTCCAGGAAAATTATCCAACCAGTCTAAGTTCAGCTTGGTCCAGTAAGTCAATTTGTTCCGCACGAACTGCTCCCAATCTAGACAGTCATCATATCAAAATTTCAGTGCTAAATTTATAAACAATGTCGGTCACTTATTTTAGTGAAATTATCGGAAAAGGATCTGATAAAAATAACCGTGAGAACAAATTTGAAAGAATTTTGTCTTGAGAGCTTGAACATACTATGTTGTGATAAATCGAAAAATCTCGAGCACACAATTTCAATTGGTAAATAAGTTTGAGTTACTATAGTTTTATAATGCAAAATGTAGTCCAATCGAGAACCAGGCAAAATTGGTCTGGCAGCGCCCCCCCCCCCTCCGACCAATGAATGGAGAGAGGAAGGAAGAGGGGAAGAAGTTTAAGAAGAAGATAATGAAAACGAGTAAGAAGAGGAATAAACAGGGGTATGTCTAAAAAATTTAGCAAATAAAAGAAATGCGAAACTTTTTGGAGTTTTCGAGTTTTCAACTCTTTGTACCCCTGGGATCGTGACGGGCCTAACACTAAGGATAGAAAGTAAGGTACAGGGGTGTAAAAATGCCACTCTGCTGAACGTTTCACACGATCCGGGATTTTTTCCTCACTCGCATTCCGATAAATTTCTCTCTCCCCTCCCCCCCGCAATTTTTATAAGTGATGACCTCTTCTTTCTCTTAGCTCTTCTATTCTGGAAATCTGCTCGATGCAGCTCCCGAAGTCAAAAAGATCGGTAAGTCGTTGATATTGTTTCCAAAAATTAGTTTCGGCATCGTTTTTGACATGATCCCCGCTCTCCCAACCATGTCCTCACACCGGGAGAAAAGTTACGGGCTATAGATATACCGTCCGTTCCGGACAACGAACTACACCTCTAGAATGGCCGACCAGTGTTAGAGACCCGGAACGTTTTGAAGTTGATATAGGTTAGGTTTACTTGGGCTCACACAGCAGGCTGCCATCTAAACCCATGTCAGACGCTGCCCACATTTTGCCGAATATTGTTGAATAAAGTGATAGCAATGAAAAGATTGCATAATAATCGCACCTCCAAAGGTTTTCTTAATTCAAAAAATAGGAACTTTGAAAGCAAACCTCAAAAAAAATGAAAGTTTACATAGGTTGAAATTTTCACATGTAATCCTTATGGGCAAGACGCAGCAGAAATGGAGATTGAGGTTAGCTATACTTGGGCTCCCACCCCCCTCCTGCCTTCAAAAACCGGCCCTTGCGCGTACCGCAGGTTTGCTATCTCGCGGCCATTCTAGAGGTGTAGTTCGTTGGTTCCGGACTCAGAAGCCGATCGTTCTAGGTGCTGGAGCCGTAGCTTACATTGCTCCGGGTGGTACGCTCGGGACTTTCGGCCTCTGAACCCGGAACACGGACGGTATGTCTATTTAGCATGTGGGTACGGCTTCCCCGGCCGGGTTTTTTTTTTCAGTTTCACGGATGGGATGCTCTGAAAAAATTCACGGCGTTTTTACCAAGGTCCGTTGGTACCTTTACCATCTCACTTTTTTTACCAATTATTGGTAATTTTACCAGGACAGACTGGTAAGCTTACCTAAAAACCGGTATTTTTACTGTTTTTTTTTTTTTTTTCAGGGAAGAATACCACTTTTATTGGTAATCAATTCCCGGTAACTTTGCCATTTTATCTCGGTAATTCTATACCACAGTCGATAAACAATATTGGCGTTTTTACTAAGGTCCAGTAAAATTACCGAGAGAGTTCAATAATTTTACCGAGATTTCTCGGTAAAATTATCAATTCCATAAATGGTAATTTTACCAAGAAAAAACTGGGATCAAATAGAACTCTGAATTCTTGGTAATTTTACCCTTTTCTTGGTAAATACACCGAGATTTTTTTTTTCAGTGTGTCCTCATACCGGGAAAAAAGTTACGGGCTATAGACATACCGTCCGTTCCGGACTCAGAAGCCGATCGTTCTAGGTGCTGGAGCCGTCGCTTACATTGCTCCAGGTGGTACGCCCGGAACTTCCGGCCTCTGAACCCGGAATACGGACGGTATGTCTATTTAGCATGTAGGTACGGCTTCCACGGCCGGGGTTTTTTTTCAGTTTCACGGATGGGATGACGGGGCAGATTTTGATCCCTGGTAAGATAAAAGTACTTACACTGAGCCTTTTTGCCCTTGTACTTGTCGGGGGAGGCGTATCCGACGTGGCCGGCGCTCTGTCTGTTGAACTCGGCGAGGATGGCGGCGGCCGGGGAGCGGACGAGGAGGACGGCCCTGTCGAAGGGTCTGCGGGCCTCCTCGCCCCACTCGTGAGTCTTGACCACGCACACGCTTCGGTTCCGCACCGACTCTGCCGGGAACCCGTAGCGCATCAGCCCGTAGTCCGCGTACACTGAGCCCGTCAAAATCCCTGTAAAACAACAAATCAGTTCAATTCAACACCAATAGCATGACTGCCGTGCTAAAGAGAAACGTCGCACAATGGATTGAGGCAATAAGAGAAGTCGGACAAAATTTGGAAACTTTAAACGCTTTTCACTCCGTTTATACAAAACTATGAGGTTCTAAAAGTTGCTCAATTGGTTTCCACGTAAAATTTTCTCCTGAAAGCATCTTTTGAATTTAAAATGTGACGAAGTAAACATCAAAATTTGCAGTTTTAGTATAAAATCTCATGTCCCATCTCTCTGCTCGACACGATCCACTGTGTGCCACCCGTCTGGAAAATCGGGCAAATCAGGGAATTCGTGACGACCGAGAAAAGTCAGGGAATCCGTTGAAAATGTCAGGAAATTTGCGGGAAAAGTCAGGGACTTTCTGTAACATGAAAAGTGGCTCCATTGGTTTCCTCGTGAAATTTTCTCCTACGAGCACCCCTTGAAACTTAAAATGTGACGAGATAAACATCCTTTGCAATTTTAGTCAAAAATTTCATGTCCGACCTCTCCCATTGATTGGATCCATTGTGCGCCGTATGAATATTCGAGAAATTCCCAATTTCCTTCGATGAAATGCTTATTTTCGAGGGAAGCTATGAAAATTTTCCCTTGAAATTTTTAGGATCTTTAGTTGAAATTGCGAACAAAATTATCTAAGAAATTGCAGGAAGAATATTTATAAATTTTCCCTCAAATTCATGATTTACCAAAGGACATTTGGCAACGCCTGAGGGTTTATACAGCGATTCTCCTTGGCACAGCAGACGAAGCATAAGCATCAAAGGGGCTTAAAGACATTTCTTCCAACTTTCAGAGAACCCCAAAAATTATAACTTCTTTTCCCGGCAAAGAAACGATGGCCTAAGTGCAAAACCACGTAACTCCGGTTGCAACGTTTTCAGACTTCCCGTCATGCTTTATTTTTTCATTGGAAAACTAGGTATGTAGTTAACTTAATTTCTTGAAAACTTCCTTGATTTTTTATTTTCATTAGCAGAATATTCCGTGGAAATGTCTAGCTACATAGTTGACTTGTTTCTCTTCGAAAGAATAGAATGGAAGCTGAGATTTTGAAACGCCACAATGGAGATACGTGGTTTTGAATTTTGACTTGTTTCTCTTCGAAAAAATAGAATGGGAGCGGAGATTTTAAAACGCCACAATGGAGATACGTGGTTTTGAATTTTGACTTGTTTCTCTTCGAAAAAATAGGATGGGAGCGGAGATTTTGAAACGCCACAATGGAGATACGTGGTTTTGAATTTTAGCCACCGATAAATAGTTTTGAGCTTACAGCGCTACGTGTATGATCTCACACCCACACCCTACATCCCCTGCCTCTAGTACAAGTTGCCCATCCCTTTTCCGCAGTCTCTCAAAGGGACTGCAGACTGCAGTCCTCTCGAAACGGGATCAATGTGAGGGGCTCCGCGTCAGGCCTCAGAGTAGGGCAACGTTGCCAATTCATGTCCGGAAGTATATTCGGCTAAATTACCACACACTTATTTTCCACATCACACTCTCGCTTTTTTTTTTTCACACTCTCGTATGTTATTTCTGAAATCATAAGTTTATGGAGATCTCTCGCCCAAGAATGAAATCCTCAAATTTTCAGAGCTGTATCTAATTGTCTCCTTAATACGAATTTTTTCTTTCGTCATCCCACGTCACGCGGTAACTCAAACTCTGAAACACCGCGGAGGGACCCTGGTAAAAATTGGCGATAAGAGCTGCGTTTCAAAATACCATAGGAATTCTTATAGTCGGCTAAAGAAGGCTACAGAAAATCATATAGCTGACTGTAGAATGCGGAGAAAATCATACGGCCGGGCTATACGAAGCGATAAAAAATTATGCAGCCGGGCTATAGTTCCTATCGCCGGGCTTTACACTTTATCGCCTGGCTGTTGCTTTTTCGCCATCGATTATAAAAGGCTATAAGAAATTGTGTAGAAATTCGTGTTCTTTGGAAATCATTAAGTTTGATACGGAACCACCTTACACACATTATATTTTCCTTTAATACATATTTGTTATCATCAATTAAAATGAGAATAATCCATACAGGATGTGCAAACATTTCAAAATCATGAGTTGAATAACGCTGGCTCCGCCAGATTATATATTAGAGCCTAACACAAAGCGGAGCGGCGACGCACTGGCGCCTACAAACCTAACAGGGATACTTCACGCATTGCGCAACGCGTGAAGTATCCTTGTTAGGTTTGTAGGCGCCAATGCGTGTTTCGCGCTGGCTGCCCGCCTGCCGCGCCGCAGCGAGCCGCAGCGCTTGAAGCAACTATATCACACCTGAGGTATTGCACAGTATCATACGAAACTGAAGGCGCTCTAATATATTAGGAATGGCAGGCATCCATCAAAAGTACGGAGATTTCCTCGCAAAATAAATCAAGATACTACGGCCCAAAAAGAGAGAGTTAGCCCAAAAACTCACTAAGTCCTAGCATCCGTAATTAGTAACGTTTAGCATAAACTTTATTGTCTGGCTGTTGCTTAATCGCCATCGGCTATAAAAGGCTATAAGAAGTTGTGTAGCCGGCTATAGAAGCTATTGGAAATCTTACAGCCGGCTGTAGGTCTATGGTAATTTGGAACACAGATTCTACTGCCAATTTTTACCAGGGGAACCGTTTCAACGTCATTTCGAACCTCAAATCCTCGCTTTTCTATTTTTTCGATTTTTCAACCTTCTTTTTCTTACTTTTTTATTTCTTTTTTAACCACTAAGTATATTCCCTACCTATCCTTTTTTTATTTGTTCATTATAACACCCGTCGCTCCTAGAATAGGGGTAGCCGCTCTTTATGCATGGACCACCCTTGATCCGGGTGTGCTTACGTACATTAAGTAAATAAAAAGGTGCACTTCCTCATTTTTTGTATACATTTTCCATGAACCTTCAAGATTTTGATGTGGGTAATATTACTCTAATGATACTGTGTATGCCATGGCTCAGTTGTTCACATACATTCGTTGATCGTGATCACTAATGCCTCTCAAAGAAACCGGCTGTCTGACATGGCGTAATGTAATGGTGGGTTTTGTCCCTATAGATCTTTTAATCACCTTAATGGAGATGTTGCATGTGTGAGGAATTTGCGATTTGACTGTTGATTCATTTGTAAAAGTTCGCGAGAGACACGGTGGTGCTACTGGTTTTTTCTGAAATCATCTCCCAGGCTCAAAAAAAAGCTCTCAAGTTGAGGCCAAAATGGAGGGGATATCCCATCCTACCCTGAGAGTCCACCTCTACATCAAAACAAACTCTCCATGCAAAGATAGGGAGCAAATAGGTACTGGTAAATTAGCAGGGTTGCCGTGTTTTCAGTTTTGGAGTCCCCAAATGAAGTGGCAGCCCTGTCAATGTATTTGCTTCCTATCTGTGCATGGAGAGTTTGTCTTCGATGTAGATGTGGACTCTTAGGGTAGGGTGGGATATCCCCTCCATTTTGGCCTCAACTTGAGAGCTTTTTTTGAGCTTGGGAGTTGATTTAAGAGAAAACCAGTGGCACCATCGTGTTTCGCGCGAACTTTTACATAAGAATCAATGGTCAAATCGCAAATTCCTCACACATGCAACATCTCCATTAGGTTGGTTAGGCAACTAATAGGAAAATGTTGAGGTTTTAATTCGGGTGATTCACCTGTTGCTTGCTGCAGAAGATAACGGAGCCATGTATTTCCACTGCCTGGAAAAGAGACGAGGGCTATGAGGGGCCGCGCCTCGGGGTTGAGCGCATAGTGTAATTTTTGGCACCAACGTAGTGGAAATTTTTTCGAGCTCAGCACTGTGTTCAGCTCCATAGGTCGACTTCCATGCTTCCTCTTTTTTTCTGGCTGCAAAAGGAATGTTAGAATAATTAGATGATTTTTATTCAGAAAAACCAAGGCATGAACAAAGGAACGAGAAATGATTCAGAGATTTTACAATAAAACCTCATAAAGTTTCTAGCCACGGTCCTCGCATCACAAAGAAAACGAAATAAGATCGCTGAGTTTCATTCATGAGAACTAGCGACAGATTAACAGAGAAAAGCGCATTCAATAGGTATCTTTAAGTATCTGCACCTGTCGCGATGTTGCGTGGTGAACCTCGAATCGGATGCAACTATTCGTGCTCAGTGACTGTCCGTGTTGCTTATCAAAAAATTGAAGGCGCTATGCAATGGCTTTCTTTCACGCGACTCCTATTGCGTTGCGATGCGAAGTTTTTTCTTTGATGAGGTGGGGGTGCCGTTCAAGTTTACGGCGAGGTGTTCTCCTCACGTTCTATTGTAAACTCATCTCAGAATTATGGACTATGAGGGTGAGTTCGAGGGAAAATCTTTCAGTTTCTTTTGTCTACGATAAAGTCTGCAGTACCTACGTGGGTATTTTTTTTATCATAATGTTAGTTTCGCATTCACCAAGAGGGTACCCAACGCTCTCAAAATGATTGTAGGAGCTCGTAAACGCTTAAGCATGAGGCATATTTCCACACGTTAAAGTTTTTCTTGCCTAATCATTTAACAGTAACGTGGCGTGCTTTGCGATCTATCGATATTTCCCCATTTGAAGCTGTGGTAAAAAATCGATTATTAAGGTGTTCACTGCGAGCACCCTATTGATCGATCCTTTTACATTGGTTTAAATGGCAGATCAGTCGATATATCGCAAAGCACGCCACGCCACTGTCATTCAAGTTAAGGCGAATGACGCTCTATGCTTCAGATAGTAGCTTTGGATCGAGTCTGTCGGAGTTAATTGGTGAGCATCAGTTATCAAACCGGTTCGCTTTTACTGCTACGAGTTCAAAACAGGCGTCAAATCGGAGATTTTCAGTTCATCCTAACACGTAAATATTTAATTTAATCGCGTTGTTTACAAGTACTTACCTTATTTTGAGCATGAAGTGTAATTGAAGAGATTAGTAGAATACCAACGAGATAAATTGTTAGCAGGAAGCAAATAGCCCATACCCGCCCTCGATACATCAACCTGGATAAAATTACAGACTGGATTAATTAATAAATTCTAAAAATCGCACATAAACTTTTTCATTATTATTCAAACTCCATCCAACCATTTTCATCAAATTTAATGTTGACGGTAAAAATTTGGGAACGCTTATCTCTTCGCGACGTTGCAGACTTGCTGCCATACTTCATCTTTTAAAAGAAAACTTACTCAATACCATTTCTTAAAAACTTCTCTGTTTTTCTTTTCTGTCGTAAGGATATTCTGTGAAGAGTTCAAGCATTAGCGTTGTTCTCCTTTGATAAACGAATAAAATGGGAACGGAAATTTTGAGACACCGCGAACGAGAAACGCGTTACTGCAGTTTCACTATGTCGATGCCTCATGTCATCTCAAAGTCTAACAATTTTTTCACCGACGTGCAATTCTGCTGCTGAAAGTGGGTATTTAAAGATCTCTAAGGATGAAATCTGCACAAACTCTTGACTGAAGTCGGTATTTAATATAACCGCTGACCGTTTTAAAGAAGCATATTTAATTGTGCGATATTGTGACCCGGGATGAATAAAAATATCCATAGCATAATTAAGTGATATTTTTAACGCGAAACAGTTATTGCATTTTGTGAAGTTATAAATTTATTAATTAAATTATTTTTTTTATTATTTTTTTAAGTTTTCTCATTTAACAGAAAACCTTTAAAAATTTCCAGTTGTGCGGCGATTGCATCACGAAGAAACCAGAAGAAGATTGTCACGTTTCATTTACGGACTAGCAGTAAACGCGCATCTAATAGGTATTAAGTTCGAATCTTGGCGCGGCCAGCGCCGTGGTTAACGTCGGGATGCATCTTTTCGTGTTCTGTGACTGTCCGTGTTGCATATCAGAAAACTGAAGGCGCTGTGCTGGGACTTTCTCTCGCGCTGTCACTATATCCTATAACGATACGATGACGCGTTCGCTTTGACGCGGCGGGAGTGCAGTTTAAGTTTACGAGCAAGATGTTCTTCTTACATTTTATACGAACTTATATCGCGATTTATGAACCTCACGACAAGATGAGTTCTAAAGAAACTTTAATTGTTGTCCTCGATAAAATCTGGATTAAGTAGGTCTCTTTATCATATTTTTAGTTTTACTTTTTTCTAAGCGAACACGCATCTGCACACGGTCGTGACTTCATAGTTTTATGAGCAAAGAAGAAACGATTGGCAGGGATGGAAGGGGAGGGGATCTTATTCCGTCCATTATAAAATTGTTATTAATCGTAATATACATATGCATTATTTTTGAAACAATCCTTTTCCTTTTTTTTTCTTCCTTTTTTTTTTGGTCGGTTAGTTAATGAATTAAGACGATCAGCAACTAGCTGTTAAAGGAGAACGTTGAATATACCTATATATTTTTCTGACACCTTAAAAGCTGTCTCGGTGGGTCGAAGACTTGCTTATACGCGTCACACCTGTTGGGTCTGTGGAAGTTAAAAAAAATCTCACGGCCAGGATCGAATTCACTAAGTATCTCTGAAGAGATCTTTTCATCAGACTTCCATGTCAATTATATCAGTTCCGCGAGTGATTCATGATGGAAGACGTTTTAAAAGGTAGAAAAATAAGTTACCTTTTAAAGCGGGCACTGTCTTGAAGAAAAACTTAATAAAAATGAATAATGAGGGTCGCTGTGATTATTTATCATTTTCACACAATCCTTCAAGGGTCACTTTTTTGTATCTCACGGAGAAACGGGAGTACCTTAATGAAGTAAAACATATAAGAGGAACTTACCGTCATCTGTAAGATGTGAGAGGATGCCTATCCACCGATGCTCTTTTTTGCACGACTATATCACCGGCATTCCAGTAAAGTTCGAGGTGCTGGCCACGGAATTGCGCAAAAACTTAGTTATACATAATAGCACTACAGAGAGGAGGACGGGTGGTTGAAAAACATTCTAGGGAGTATAATATGACGGTCCCGGTGGAAGGGCGGTATCCCTGTGAAGTTTGAACTTTTCATCTTACACTTGGACCCGCACTTGGGACTCGGGCGTGCTCCTGGTCCGCTCTCTCGAATCCCTTCTCCCCACGATCGATAAACCCCACGTCTACCAACTTCGCGCTCACATCAGCTATCCTCGTGCCGCGCTGAGCAGAAAACCCGTGCCCACGCGGGGAATCCAGTGGATTTATGCGCGGTTTCTGCTTATGGGCGCGCTCACATCGGCACTTCAGCATGATCCCGACTCAATATGGTGCAAAAACATTCCAACGTGAGATTAGGTAGGTTAGATTTTTTTTGTTTTTTTTGTTTTTTTTTGTTTTTTGTTTATTTGCCGCTTTAAAAAGAATCGGTACAAAGCATTCTATTTCATACAATGAATGAAAGAAAGGTAAATGTAAAAAAAGAAGGGAAAGACAAAAGGACAAAAGCCTCAAAAAGAAAAAAGAACAAAGATAGGAGGCTAGATATTGAAAGGCTGGACTTCCGTTAAAAAAGGAAGATTCAGGATCCATTTGCGGCTCCAGGAATTTCCGGTTGGCATACATCGGAAAGGGTGATTTCGAGGTAGGTTAGAATGTGATAAGTCACAAATTTCAAGATTCGATCAGCAATTTCTGCAAATTATCATTTAAAAAAAAAAATATTTCATTTTGCGAAAAATGAATTGAGAACCGATTACTGTTAAAATCTGTGATCGTTAAAATTGGAAACAAGTCGTGAAACGCTATTTTTCCCTCAAAGCTATTCAAAGTTGATAATTTTCGAGCGAGAGGGTGTGTACCCTCCCCCTCCCTCGAAGTTACTTTAATTTCTTATTATTACGTGATATTTTACCATGACAACATCCAAAAATTGCGTTATAGGGGTGGCTAATTTTCAATGATTTTCCTGCGGAGGTCCTCCTCGGATGAGGGGGGGGGCTCCAGACACCCCTTTTTTCTCTTCATGTTTTCACGGCCGCCACAGGGTGTTACGTCGTTATAGCAACACCACCTGTATTTTTTAAAGGTCTAAATACTGACCTCCACATTAGTGGTAATAACTACCAAAAGCATTTTCTAAGCTCTTAAAAAAGTATCGAAATATGTGCGAAAAGGAAGAACTTTTTGTCAAAGAAAAATTTGCGTGAGAAAGTCTTTAACTCTAAGATGATATGTTACAGCATGTTTTGAGTAAATTTGACCTTAAATTTTCTTAAACTTTTGAAGTAAGAGACACCTCAACGCGCGTTGATGACGGCGCAAAGAAACAACTATTTGCGCTTGATGGATGTCCATGTTGCATCTGCAAAATTGAAGGCGCGACAACGCGAGGCATGAACTCTTAATGCTTTGCTCATGCTGCGCATGCGGGTGTCGTTCAGATTTGTCTAATGCGTATCTCCACATTTGGCTGTGTTGACACTCGACTTTTTCTTTTTTGTTTTCAATTGTGTATCTGATTCTTTTATGCGATGTATTTGTAGATCTTCATTCGGAGCTCGAATGTACCGGCCGCATGCAACCCGCGGGCAGGTGTTTCTCAAAAGCCTCGGGCCGATTTTACCAGGCTTGGGCATCTAAGGGTTAAAAACTAATGTAGATTTTTTTGACGAGTTTTTCTAAGCACTTTTTTAAACAACTCATCAGGTGTTGACGAACTAGGTTCAGTGAGTGAATTTTTTAAAATTTTAATTTGACCAATTTTTCACCTATCCAATTTGGATTTCCCATCTATCATACATTGTACTTGAGAAAATACTGAAAAAGAGTTTTTATTTTACGTTCTCATTTCGGCGGTTTTTTTTTCGGTTGAAAAGATGTTTCCTTAAAAATATCCATGATCTTCAAAAGTATGTTTAACGGTAAATATGGTGGGTCGTGCTTCGCGATGAATCGATTTATTTACTATATTTAGAACTATGGAAAAAGATCGATTATCACAGTGTTCGCAACGAGCGCCTTAAAAGTCGATTCCTGACCGTGGTTTCGAATGAGAAAATATCGATAGTCGATAATGCAAGCCTCGCGGCTACTTCTTACATCGAGAATATTGGGCATTTTTCACTGAAAATTTCACTGGTTCTTCTTCCGTCTTTATACCAAAATCTGTAAAATTTTGGGAAAAAAGTGTACAATTGAATTCAGGTGGAACAAATTTTAGTTTGGAAAATTTGATTTGAAAATGCTAAATCAGGCAGCCAGTAATTATCGGTAAGCCCCAAAAAACGCCTAGCAAGTTGCTAATCAATCATTTTCACCGAAAAATAAGTTTATCGCCGAACTTCGCCGTTGCCTAAAACCCTGTTACGACACTTGAATTGATGGTGCGGGCTCTCTACACCGTACTGGTTAGATCGTTGGAATAAACTTGCAGCATTCTTTTTCGTTTTTTATTTTATTTTATTTTTTTTTTTGGAAGAAGCATCTACTTGTGAAATACTTTAAGACATAACAAGCAGAGAAGACTGATGAAAACCCGAATTACGTTTGCAGTCTCTTTTAAAAATTCTCACGGATTGAGACACCTATAAGTAAGTCCTGAGAAAGACAGACGAAGCCTAAGATTGGATTAATTCAATCCCAGGGGCGGTTTCTAGAAATTTAAAAATCTAAAAATTACAAAATAAATTCGACTCTGAGTGCCTTTATCCTTCCGATGAAAGAGTTGGATGTGGACTGATTACAGCACAATGCAGAATAAATCGTGTTTCGTGAGCTTCGTCTCGCAGCTTTGCTGAATAAATAAGCGAAAGGAAGACCAGTTTTTTCTGTTTGTGATACATTTAATTTTTTTAGACGTGAGACCAAACATGTTTTTCACCTGGGAATCTAAGGGGTCTCATTGGAATATTCGAGATGATTTGCAAACAATTTTTGACGCTTCCTTTCTAAATACATTTCCTTTATAGCTTCCTTTGTTTAAAATATTTTATTCAGTGGTAGCCTTTTGTCCTTTAATTCAAAACCATCAACTATGTTTAAATTACTAATTTTTAAGCCCTCAATTTTTCCGAACCACTCTTAGAATGTTCCGCAGTTGCTGCGTCTCTCCAAACTTGCTCCATGCTTGATCTCGAAAAATAGAAAACAAAAATTCAAGATTTTTTTCTTTTTTAAATTCCTTTAATCAATAAAAAAATTGTCTCCCTGTACATTCTCCTGAGAAATTAGATAATTATCATTTCTTTTTCGTTCTTGTTTTTTTTAAAAATATTTATTGACAGTATTTTTCCCTTTTACTTCATATGATTTGTATGACTTAGTTTCGATTTCAGAATATTCCGTCAACGATTTTTTGTCCACGCACCTGTTTCGTCCAGTAGTTAACGTCCACGCATAAAATAAGCAACAGTGACTTGGTTAAAGCGTTATATTTATTCCGTATATAAAATTATACTGACAATATCGAAATGAGAAAATTGAGAGAGATGGAGGTATTGTTATGTTGACTCATTTGTTAAATGAAATATTCTTTTCTTCTTTTGATTCATCTTCACCAAGAAGCACGCAATCTTCGGTTTTAACCCATTTGTACATCTATCAGAGTGGAATACGTCCAATTTTGAGCGTTTGGTTGCGCGCACACCACGCTGCAGCACAGTAATAGTACGAAATATAAAAGGAAAAATTAAAGTGGTTTGGAAATCATAAAATTCGACGCGGCACCACCTTAATATTTTCAAAACATACAGTATATTTTCCTCTAAAACATTTTTTTTTTCATCAATATAAATGAGAATAACCCAGGCGGAGTGTGCGAACATTTCAAAATTATGAGTTGAAAAAGCTGACTCCGCGAGTTTAAACATTAGAGTCCAACACAGAGCGAAGCAGCGTGCTGCCAGCGCGACATGCGCACTGGCGCCTACAAACCTAACAGGGATACTTCACGCATTGCGCAATGCGTGAAGTATCCCTGTTAGGTTTGTAGGCGCCAATGCGCGTATCGCGATGGTCCTCCTCGCCCGCCGCGCCGTGCGCCACGGCGCTTCAAGCAACTATTTCGCAACACAGGCGTTGAACAGTATCATACGAAATTAAAGGCGCTCCAACATATCAAGAATGACATGTATCCTTTAAGAGTACGGAGCTTTCCCAGCAAGATACATCAAGATACTACGGCATAAAAAGAGAGCAGTGGTCCAAAAACTCACTAAGTTCTAATAGCAGTATTTAATAACGTTTAGCATACTTTTTTTATTTCATTAGAGAAAAAAGTGAATGGGTTTAGGCAGAAACATTCTTGAGTATGCCGCAAAGAAGATTTTATTTTGAATCATGAATCAAAAAAACTGAATGAAAGCGGGTTTCTACTTAATGTGACTTTTCTTTTTATATGAGCATCTTTTCTTCTTTAAACAAGCATTATTTTCTTCATCGATTCATGAGGAAATCTTCTCGGCGGTATATATGAGCATATTATTGCTTGAATCAAGTCACTTTTTCCTCTGATGAAGTTCAAAAATCATGCTAAACGTTATTGCTAAACGTCTTATGATAATGTACAGTTACTAGGACTTAGTAAGTTTTTCGACTACCGCTCCCTTTTTGTCGTCGTCACACGATTTAATTTGTGAGGGAACTTCGAGCTTTTGAAAGATGCCATCAATCACGATACTTTGGGGTGCCTTCAATCTCGTATAGTACTGTGCAACACCTCCGTGGCGAAATTGTGGCACAGAGCGCCGCGGCACGCCTGCGCCGTCGCGATGTTATCGTACACAGGAAAAATCTAAGAGCGTTTAGCTGAGGCGAATCAAAAGGTTTATCTAGTTCAGGTATAACAAGGTGGGATTTTCTTGAAAGAAGGGCGCGGCCCCCGGGTTGGTCTTCTTAGGGGCCAGGTGGGCGGCCCCCGGGTTCAGCTCCTTCGGGTCCAGGTGGGCGGCCCCCGGCATCGACTCCTTAGGGGCCAGGGGGGGCCGCCGCCTTTGGCTTCTTAGGGGTCAGGTGGGCGGCCCCCGGGTTGGGCTTCTAAGGGGCCACGTGGGTCTCCTTCGGAGTTATTTCTCCCTAAGAATATCGAATGACATTGCTGCAATTCGTACCCCGTTGCCTGAAGTCAATGATTATCCTTCATATGGGCGGGTATGCAAAATGACTGCCGTGACGCATGTATAGTGGTATCATAATTTTGCATTGAGTTAACGGATTGATTTGAAGGCGCTCTTTTGTATCCATCGTGAGTGGCCTTGTATTGTACAATGATGCTAACCAATAAGTTAATACTTTTTGGTTGTAAATCGAGCCGCATATTTGAAAAATTCCGAGGAATATTATTTTGGAGAAAGAATGAGATTGTCTTTGGTCTCTACATCTTATTTCAAAGAAGAGAGCGCATGCGGCTGGATCAGATTTTGTATTTTAAGTCCTGTGCTTCCGTCATTGTATTCTGAAGCGAAACTGTAAGAGTCGCCGTTTACAAGATCGCAACTTACTCAAAAGCGGTTGTAAATTTAAAAAGTTTCGCACTGATAAAATGAGCTTTCTTTGATTAACTGTGAATAATCAAAATTGATGAAAAGTTACTGTGTCCACTGGTCCATTCGGAAAGCGTGAAGCATTGATGAATGGGGCATCGATGACCAACTAAATCTTATCTGATAAGGAATTTTAAGTGTGAAACCCTTTTTTCAGTCTTAAATGATCCAAATCCACCGACAAGTTTAAAGCACTGATTGCAAAAATGCGTGTCTCCTGATAAAGTGTCGATTTTTAGTGCCAAAAACGCGAATCTCGGCGTTTCTGCCGTATTTTCTGACAGTTCGAGAAATTATTGAAACTGCTGATGGAGTTTGAAAAAACATCTTATTCTTGCTATCCTCAAGAATTATTACCCTTCTACCTTAAGTGACTGAGAATTATTCGACAAGGAACTTTGAAGTTCAACTCGTGATGATTTTTTTCATTCAAAATACCTAATTGAGTTTAAACTATTTTCAGACGTCTCATGACCTACTGTCTTCGTATTGAAAGAAAAAAAAATTCAAACTAACGATGAAAAGAAATTAAAATTATTTCATGAAATTTTACACCCTTCTTCTCCTCGTAATTTTCTTCCGTAATTTATGAACGGCCCTTTTAAAAATTTACACTTGAATATGCTCTAGCTGAAGCGTTAGATGTCGGCTTTCTCTTTCACCAAAACGTTGAAACTTCCTTCAATTTGGGGGTATGCAATTTTCATAGCACAATGAGTAATAACGAATATTAGCAAGCTCGTTGGCAAGGACAAGAAGGAGCGCAGGCGCTTACATTAGGTACAGTCGCAGGAGAACAGTTTGACTTAGTTTTCTTATGGCTTAATTTCGTTTTTTGGAAGTTCCGTTATATCCTTTGCATTTGCGATTTCCTCAATTCTTGAATTTTCCTTGCCAGTCTACGTAAGGTCAAACCTAGACTATGTATCCTCTGTTTACTCATCCACCAATGGTTGATAGGCCCGCACCCCCAATATAAATACGTTCAAAAGAAATATAGGAAAGAATACGAGTCAAAAGAAAATGTATCTTCATTTCAGTGGTTATGCAATTTTAGGAATTTTAACGCTATATTGGTTGCATCATGCCTTACGCTCTATGAGCAGTATACTGTTTGAACTTTACCAGATATGTTGCGCAAATATCTAATTTTCCAAAATCAAGTCTTTCATGAATTTCTGCCGTATTGGGATTAATGTTTCACAGCGCTAGCTAATTTTGCCTTGATTACTCATTGATCATTTTTTTTTATTTTTTCCTTTTAAGGTTGTTCAAAATATATATTCAGGTAAGTAGGTATGTATGATTGTTTTTTCATTTATTTAAATTTCACGATGAAGGGACAAAGAAGATTTTGCACCCTTTTCAGAACAGGGTGCTCACGGATATTAAATAAAAACAATGAGCACATGAACCATATTTCATCTGAAACAACATGCATTTGCATACTGCTCAAAATGGTCAAAGAAAATAATGAGTTTATCAAAAGCAAAACCTACAGCTGCTATTCAATTATTCTTGCTTGACAGCACGCCAAAAAAGCTTCAATAAATAATTCTAAAAATCTATTAAAGCTAAAAAGAAGGAGAAAGACATTCTCCAGATATCCGTGATTTATAGGCAACAGTAGATGCATTTCTCAAAAAATATAAACTGTTCAAAGTTGGGACCTGCCAGAGAAAGCCAATGCAAAATTTCAATTATTTTTTATAAATTAAAAATAATAAGGGAAATTAATTTTTTTGGACCAACTTTGTTTCAGACCCAATTCTCCAACCCTGCCTGAAAACAAACCTGATTGCAACAAAAATTACGATAAAGAACGAATGAGAACTACTTAAAAATGAGAATTTCAATTTTTCCTGACAAGCATAACTTTAGACACAATCTAACTATACTTTCACAAATCTTACAAAAATGCTACAAAAACTTCATTGGAGACCATGACCCTCCTATACAAGGATCACCTTCGAGAGGAAAGCAAAATTTCCACTGACTCTTCATCTGGTCATAACAGAATCTTATTTTCATGTATTCTACTTGGCATTGTTTAAGACCCTATTCCTTTGAAACAGTCTTGAAGCCTAGACAAAGTGATGGTAAAAAAGGCATAACATGCATCTTGACTTGTGATAATGTAGATTCCTTGTCACAGTTTATTTTTTCCGAGGAAAACCTACAAACACACCTTCTTGGATTTTTAACAATTTCTTCACTCTCTGTTTAGGATACTTAGTAACATTTTTGATGATAAAGTTCATTTGGTTCTCCTTCAAAAAAGTAAAAAATAAGGAGCCTGAGAAACTTAATTAGCCTCCATAATTGTATCCCACTTAATTGGCAATAATTGGGCTACCTAATACACTAATAGAAATAAAGTCTGTAAAAGAGGGTGCGACAAAAAAAGAAGGAAAACTTTTCCTCCAGAGTATGGTAGGTTATATGCATTCAGGTTTTCTCTGGCTGAAACTTAATAGGTAAAAAATTAGAGGAGGTAGAAATCTAATGATTAATGATCTAATGAGTAAATCTTTAAATAACTTAACTTCATGCTCAGAAACTGTATTTGTTTTTGAGTTTTATTCTTAAAAATTTTAACGGGAATAAAAAAAAAATAATATGATTCATACAATAAAAGAAAATATAATCAGTAAAAATGACTCTGCAATCATGATAGAAACAAATGAAATTTCCAACAGATACTTCCAATCACTGCTATCTTCTTTTTTCATTTGAGTAAATCATAACATATACGCCCCTGAACGCGTACCTGTACGCTATAAGTATGAAGCAAATTCTGGAGGATGTTATTAGCATGAAGGTCCTTAAAATACTGTTGACATTATGATATTATTAGTTAGGAATAGTTAGTAAATTTAAGTGTAATGTATTTGATCTCCCTCCGTTTATCTTTTAGACTTTAAGATCATGAGTGATATAAAATTATTAGCAAATCTTGACAGATAGGTAAATCACAAACAACAAAAATAAATAATTACAAAGAGATTGATCACAACATTAGGATGAGGTCACAGGTTTCTTTTCTGCTGAGCTACTGGCATTTTTTGCTCTTTCAGCCTCTTCTAGAACTGCATTTAATTCATCTTGACCTTTGACTACTAGCTGATGTTTTTGTTTGAACTCGTTGATTTCAATACCTTTCTTCGTCAACTGTTCTTCCAAAGTTTGACACAGACCTTCTAACTGAAATCAAAAACAAGCATAGAGGATTCAGTATGATGGTAAGAATATTCTTTCCCCTCTCTCTTCATTTTTTTTTCATTCTATTTTTTATTTGGAGGAAATTTCTTCCTCACTCTTGGAAATAGGTGTAAAAGACATTCTTTGGGTAAGCTTGAGTTCTTATCAAATTTCTCGACTTACTAAGGAAATGAGACAGGTGATTTGCATTCATCATTTCTGTTGGTCACAAATATTTGGCTTGAATGCTTTAAATATTTGCATTTCTAGGTACGGGGATAGTTCTCAAAAAGGAATGTACTTTTAAAAAAAAAGGATTTTAAAGCAAAAATAATTTTTTGCAGCTCACTTCATTCCTGATAATATGTTGGAATACTTGCTACGCTCATTAATTGTATGGATTGTACATCATGGTTTGATGACTTAATCTCACATTTACAATCATCCACTTTTGAACCCTCCTGTAAGTAATTTGTGCAAAAATATTGATGTTAGATCTACCATCAACATAAGAAATACCATGATTCGGTTACACTCGAGACATTAACTTTGCTTTGACAGTGGTTGGCGATCTATCAAAAACTGAACCTCCTGCACTTGAGAAAATTTAATTCTGCGAGACATTTGTACCGCATAAAGGCCTTGCCCACACAAGAACAGTTTGCAGAACTTGGGGCGAATTTGCTGTAACTTACCTATAACTTGTTTCCCCAACCCCCCAATTTATGGAACTAATCCGCCCTTGCAGTGCTTGTGTGGACATAGACCAAGGGTCTTTTTGCTAGGTATGACATCATGCCTTGCATAGAAAGTATGCTGAGACTCTGGCTTAAGAGAGCATGGTCTTTATTATGACGATAGAAAAATTAAGCTAGGTAGCTTCCACCACTCATCTTAATAAGTAGGGTGGTTGAATTGCCTGGAGAGAGTTTAATCAAAACTGAGTAAAAAAAAATACTAACTTTGCTGCTGGTGTCAACTAATTTGGGTAGAACATCTTTGACCGTTTTTTCACATAGGATACCTCCAATTGCATGATAACACTTCCTGTCACCTTCAACATCTTTCAAAGTGTCGATGACTAGCCTGGAAAAGAAGAGAGATATAAGTGGTCAGTGAGTGAAATTTACCTGCTTAAGCCTCCTCCAAGTTACGTCTGGATCCTTTGTGGTTGTATGCAATGGAACTCCGGTCAGATATTCTTATTAGGAATCATACAAGAGTGAACAAAGAGTTTTCAGGTTAATTACTGGGGAAAACCTTAAAACTCTCTGCAACCCTGAACTATTGAACTGTCCATCTCCTTGAAAGATTTAAGTAGCCCCAAGCAGATGATGAATAGAGGGAAAAGGCTACGTTCTCTTGCAGAGATGCATGATCTCCCCCTAGGATGAAAGCGTCACAACCACTAAATGCGGCTGTGCACATTTCTTAGGAGGGGCGGAACGGGAACTTAGATAGGAATTGAGGCGTTACAATCTTAACTTGAGGATAAGACTTGTACAATAAAAATCATTTTTTGATAGAAATTCTGATAGCTTCAGTAACATCCACAAATATGGCTGACACATGAAAACACAGGGACTTCTTACAAGGGCCAGTGATTTATACGCTGAATGCAAGCAGCACAATAAGAAGTCAAAGGAGTGAAATTTCCCATCTTGCTATCAAAAGGTAGGATTGTAATGGATTTCATATGCTTAGAAGCTTTTGATGCTTAGCTTCATGTGTGCACAACCCAATCTCATAGCACTTGAAAAGGCCCGTAGTTTGTATACATGCAACTTGCAACATAGGTTTCAGATTTTTAATCGTAAAACATTTTTCTAAATCTGTTTCAAGAGAGGAGTCTGAAATTAAGTTTAAAAATAGATAATATTGTGTCGCAGGTGAGGAGGTTAAGTTACTACTTACTTGTATTCAAATATTTCTGTTCTTGCTTCTGATAACTTATTGGCTATGATCCTTTGTTCACCCCGGAGAACTTGAAACTGATTGATGATTTCTTCAGGAGACAAATCCCCTTTTCCTTTCGACTTTTTATCACTTTGAGCCATTGTAATTAAAAAAATAGCACGCTTGCTGAAAAGTATCAACAAATGTTATCGGCGTGTTACAGATCTGTGTAAAAACATTAGACACAGTAGATTAGACTAACCATAGTGAAAACATTCTTATTACCTAAAACCAAAAACCTAACCTCCTCAAAGTTCGTAAACAAGATTTGAAGATTTTCTTTGCATATTGGCAGAAAAGCAATTTCAAAGTTGTGTGTCACTCAAGTTTTATTTATGGTTTTTCACAATAAGTATCATATCTTTATGTTTCTTCTCAACAACATGGTGCAGTGATTATTTCTGTAGAGCTATTTTTCCAGTTGTCATCGTCATCCAGAGCTAGATAGTCATTAGATCATTTTGCTCAAAATGTCGAAAATGTCAGGAACTTATTATTTTGTGATAGTAGGTCACAATGATTATCCACTCTTTGAAATGGATTTCGTCCCTTCAAGTAAAGACTTCAAGGTACACAAATAACCTGTATTGTCCAGTTCATTTGATATTGGGGTCTCAAAGCTGTTGAGTGCCATTGAAGAGGGTGCTCACGCAGAGGTCTAAAATTTTTGTGTCATGCTGGAAACCTGTGATATGTCACATGCAAGTTTTTTTTATTGACTAAGAAATCGGTGTCAGTTACAATGACTAAATCAAGATAGAGTCCGAGCCAACTAAATCTACGCACTTTTAGACTAGAACAGAAGATTCGCCATCTTTGTTCTTCCATTTACTTTCCATGCGAAAATGATGTCAGCTGATCTTCTGCTACAGTCTAAAAGTGGGTAAACTTATTTGGCTTGAACTCCAACAAAACTTCAGTTCCTCTCTCAATCCAAACATATTGCCTTTTAACTAAGTTGGAAGAGGCTTGCCCAAGCTTTTGTCTTATTATCATAAAAATCTTTATGGCTCCCCATATATTACAAATGGCCCCATGCATTGGTCAAATTGGCCCCTAAATCTTACAATTGGCCTGTTGCAAACTTCAGCCTGACTAAAGAAAGAGTCGTTTCTTACAGGAAACAGCCTAAATCCTGATGAGCGCAATGAGAAAGTCTAAAACACACCCCTAACTTCACAATATTTGTAAGAATTAGACATTTTCTAAAGCTCTCTAGTACTAGCTTCTCAGGATGTTGCGCAATACTCAACATGGCTGACGCTTCCGCATGTAAATTGTTAGGAAGCATGTACCATGGTCTTAATCAATGCCAGGAAGATGTAAATATGAACATGCCGGTTGATGTAACCCCATCTCATCACATGTGTTTTGGGAGGTTGGCGTTGGCCATGTTGAATATTACGTGGCATCCTAGTTTACAGGGGTTGGATGGAACAACTCCTCTCACCAAATGTTCACCTGTGCCCTAGTATCGTTTTTTAAGCGGGGAAGCTTGTACAATCACTTATTTCTTATGCAGATGATGTAGTTAGGAATGTACCTCAGACGTAATTTCTTGATGAGCTCCTCAGGATTTCGGGGCCATTCTCTACAAGAGACAACTCTTGTTTTTGCTCGAGCCGGAGTTAGCAACAGGCTCATTAGGATAGAGTTAGAACTCCAGGCAGACTGAATTGTGGTTTAGAGTCAAGTCTATGAATTTTTCATAAGCCAATAGGCTGTAGTAAACTTTATCATCACAAGCCAAAATAATGATATACTCGAATCCCAATAAAGCATTTTGATTGGCCTACATTATAATTTTCCTGTCCTCTCGGGAAATCCCGAAGTTCAAAGAAGTTTATCAGGTTCTGATTATTTTTTCGTTTCAATTATTAGCAGCATCAGTATTTCATTGCTTAAGAGGATTTAATAGTATCCATACTTTTGGTGTATTTTCCTAAGGAAATACACTATTTTTTATGATATCCAAGTTGAAACGTTTCATTTGCTACTGCCATGGTGCTGCAGTCGATCATATTTTAGACCTAATGATGTATCTTAAGTTTGTTGGTCTTCAGTTCTCATGGAGAAAAATAATATTTTTTGAGCAGAAATTCCTGCTTCAAGTATGAAAATTCCATTGATATTATTTTAAAGTGATGCCTCTTTGATTATTTCTTTGCAACACTTCACATGCCTATTTTTCCTCTTATTTTCAATTTTTGATTGTACTCTCTTCTTTTCCAGAAAGAAGACCACAGTCATCTAAATCAGTTTATTGCTCATGCAGCTCTTGATCTCGTGGATGAACACATGTGGAAGACAAACAACATGTATCTCAAATCTGTTGATAAATTTAATCAGTGGTACGTTTCTGCTTTTGTGACTGCCAGTCACATGAGATTTCTCATGGTGCATGATGTCAAAAATGAGGATGGCATCAAAAATTTCTTCAACGAAATCTATGAAATGTTCATCAAGGTATGTGTTCAAACAAAACATCAGAACCAACTCTTTGCAGCATTGAGATAGTGTCAGAGTGATTTTTGCTACGATCGATTGCTTTAATACCCCTAAAGAACATAACCAAAATGCAGCTTGATACAGGCTCTAAATAAAAAAAAAAATTCTGAGCAGGTCAAATTTCAGTCCTAAATTAGGGCTGATTTTGGCCTTTAATGACACCCCTCTTTATTGCTTTCAATTTTTTAGTGTTATTTTGAATATGGCTCAGCTACCTTTCCTTTTTTATTTGATCTGTTCAGCAACATTTTTGGAAAAAGTTACGTTTTGGGTTCCTACAACTTTACTTTCTCAAATTCTATTATGCAGCAAAGCTTAGTTATGAAACGCTTGATGTAGTGATTCGTTGATCACAGCAAACTTGAAGAAAATAATAATCACAGGTTCAGTCATTGTAAAGAAATGTACGAATCCAGAAGATCTGACCTCATAGAAGAAATCAAAAGTCTGAGGGAAAGAATGAAATATTGTTTTCATGATTTGTGCTTTTATTCCATTGCGCTTTTAAATTAAATAGCTCACAGTCAATGCTGAAAACACATCACTTTTTCAGTATGCTTTCTGTCCATAATAAACATGCTGGCTCTTTTATAAGGAACCTGCTGTATAGCAAATCAGTATTGCCAGAGAGCAAATAGGAAAACCCAGGCAATGTCTTGATAAATGGTTCTATCAATTTTGCACCCATCCGCTGTAATGGTAGGCATTTTGTAAAGTAATGTAGGATCGATGGTGTTAAAGCAGCACATGTTGCTTTCTTTTTTGCCATGAAGAATATTTTTAAATAAGTTAAAATAATAATCTCCTTTTTTATCTGTTCTCAGTATTCAATGAATCCTTTTTACAAATTCAACTCGCCCATTAGATGCCCATCATTTGAAAGGAAAACTCAATTCTACGGCTGTAAATATCTGGTGAATTAATCTCAGAACTTTTGAGAGGAAAATGACAAGAAGGTATGTAAATTTACAAACCAATGTATTGTTCTTTTACACTTGTTTTTGCTCCACTTCTTTTTTTCTCCCCTCGCTCATCACCTCTTAAAAAATTCGTCACTTTAAAAACTTTCCTTGTTGTAGGCAAGTGCTTGCACTCTCCATTGACTCATATCTTTAACTTTTTGCAACAATTTTTACTATTAATAAGCAGCAACTGTCTATGGAAAAAGGGATCTTTGTCATTGATTTATTTTGCACATGGAGGAATTCTTGTCAAGTTGAATGAGAAAATTGAAATATTCTGAAATAGGGAGTATAAATCAAGTCTAGTTTAGTTTTCTTTACAACAGGAAAAGGCCCAACGTTGCTTTAAAATTAAGTAATTTTGAACATCAAACACGGCAAATCAAAACCAAGACTTTTCCTCAAAACGTCATTCATCGAACTTGAAACTGCAAATCATCACAACTCTGGTTTCGTTAGACTTTTTGTGGACATGTAGTCAAAAAAATGTTCATACGCTAAAAAACTTCTCTGGGCAGTGGTAGCAGTATCATAATTTTGAATTTTTCTGCAACAAAATCCCCTTTCCTGTAGTTGGACTCACATATATTTAACACTTCTGTAAGGCTGAAGTCTATTCGGAATGGCTGTAATAAAATAAACTAACAAACTAACTATTTTTTTCACCTGAAAATGTTTGGTTCTCAAGTAAGGGATGGAGGTAATAAGAAAATTGTGTGGCTTGGTATTGAGTTATCATGGGTAGCAAAAAGCCCTCAGCTGCATTTTTTCTTTCTATGTGTCAATCTCAAGTTTTCAGCAGCTCTTTAGTGCCATAAGGGAAAAAAGACTCATGTGTACAAGCAGGGCACATCATGGAGATGTAAACTTGCTATGAGAGTCTTAAAGAAGCCTATACTGTAGGGTACAGAGAACTTAGAGGGCTGTTTGCCTTGTGGCAGAACCCTTTGACGAACCGAACCATTGTGGTGTCATACCAAGTATAGTAATTATTGTTAGTAGTCATCTGTAAATCATATAACTCTATATTCACCAAGACACATACAGCATAAGCTTCTCATAACATTGCTGCATTTATTGAAAATATGAAAAAATATAAATAAGTAAATAGACTGTAAGGTACAGAGAAACATTTTTAGTGTAAAAGTTAAGGTGCGTTTGCCACTTATATGGTGCAGATATTGATACTTCTTATGAATTATTCTATCTTGACTTAAGACTCGTACCCTTTCAATCCTCAACTCAAAGCAGCTAAATAGGCTGTATTAATACATGTATTATATCGTATCTTGGCCCAGTCTGCAAAACCAGGAGTGTAAAATTGCCTGATCTCTCAATCTGCCAATCAGGACAAATGTCAGGTAAATCTTACACCATGCAGCCAAAATGCTTGATTGCTGCAAATAGTCGGTGTTTTGGAACTTTTCCCACCCCTTTGCACTATTATCTTAGAAAGTCTTCATTCTTAAAATTAAGTCAATGGCCTTTGCAGCCAAACAGAGTAGAAAATTTCCCAAGTCAGAATTTAGCATAAAAATTTTGTCGTTTGAAAATTAAAGCCTGATAATTTTTCTTCCCTTTGTTGGGGGAGGAGAGATAAAACTATTTTGAATATTCATTTAAAATGAAATATTCAGAATTGTTCATTATAATTCAAATCAGCGCCCGTTAGCTGCCAGTAGCCCTATGAATGAAACTAGTTAGGTCCCTCCCTTTCTCCTTTTACTTCAATAGAAATACAGAAGTTCTTAACAGCAAAATTCCGTCAATAATTCCTCTGTAATAATCGCTGATAGGATTTTCAATCAGAGGAGAACCTACAAAAATGAGGACTTCAAGAATCGTGTTGTATTCTGTCAATACACATGCTGCTGCAAGCTCATTATCAAGTTGTCTTTTTTCCATCAACTATTTTGTAGAAACTGAATCAAATGATACAAAATTTCTAAATTCACTACTTTTAAAAGGTATTATTTGAAAATGATTTATCTACAATTTGATCTTTTGATCTTGATTTCTAGCGCCTGCGTCCTCACTTCGCGTGTCAATGCCGGGTCCAAACCATGCGCGTCCTTGCCGTGCCCCAACCATGCGCGTGCACGCTGAATAGCTACTCCTCAAAGGGAAACTAGACTGCGCGGGCACTCTCACGTCGGTTCTTGGAGTTGAATTACACAGTATAGAGTTCGCAACATCTAGTTTTTAATGGGAGTTACTGTGAACTTATTATTTGTATCAGCAATGATCATGGATCAAGGGTGTTAAAAGATTAAGATTTTAACATACTAGCTGTCAACACGTTTATTCTATTATTGTTAATATTCTTTCATAATTTTCCTTAGTTTAATTTAAAGCTACTGTGATATATTCATTATGAATTATGTGTTTATTTCTCAAAAATAAAATCTCAAAAATTAAAAATGGTGTAAAAGTGAGGAACTCATTTTGAAACCATGCATATTAAAAAACTAGAAAAGTCAGTTATTTTTAAAAAAAAAAACTACCTCTAAAAAACATTTATACTTTGTAGTTGAATTTTGTTACCCACAGCCACACGTTTCAGTCATCTATTCGACTATCATCCGGGACACGACCGGGGTGGTTTTAGCAGCTGCAGCTGTTGGGCTGTTCTGGGGATGTTGTCGCATTTCCGAAGGACTTTAAATAGTGTGCGTTGAGAGGGGAAAGAGCGACGCCAAGAATGGCACAATTTGGGCCAGAAGGGATTTTTCTGAAACCGGGCCCAAACAATACCTTATGATACCCTAAAACTCTGGTTAAAATTTTAGCTTGAGTATACGCACGGTTATTGAGAAATGAGGGGGCAAAGTTGCCAAATCGCCATCATTCTGGACAGCATTTCTACAGCAAAAAGACGGAAAAAATGGTCGAAAAAGTTACATTTTTGATGAGTTTCGGCTGTTAATGTTCTTATTGGGCCCCCAAGCATTTAACTGTGTTCAGTTTCAAAAATTTTGATCGCACAGTGGTCCAAAATGGGGAGAAATCATTGACAAGTCAGGATTCTTTGTCAAATTTTTAAAAATGGAAATAAAATTGTCGGTCTGCTGCAGTTTTCATGGCTAACAATGTTCTTATCGGTCCTCAATGCATGAAATTGTGTTCAGCTTCACAAATTTACATCGCACAATGGTCAAAAATGAGGGAATTAGTGGACAAATTAAGATCCTCTGTGAAACTTTTTAAAAATGAAGTGAAACTGTTGGTCCCCAGTAGAGTTTAGATCTCGGAAAAATTCATGTATTTAATTTTCTTAATTATTACTGCATGTCAGACCGTATTGTCTATAGAACGTTGTTATAGAATAGACTTTGTAGCATTATCTCAATAAAATATGCAAACTTTCAGAAATTTAAAAAAAAGAAGGAAAAACGGAGAGAAAAAATTAAAAAAATGATTTAAACAGTCCAAAAAATAATTTAAAGAGTTTTCCGGGATCTAAACTCTACTGGGGACCAACAGTTTCACTTCATTTTTAAAAAGTTTCACAGAGGATCTTAATTTGTCCACTAATTCCCTCATTTTTGACCACTGTGCGATGTAAATTTGTGAAGCTGAACACAATTTCATGCATTGAAGACCGATAAGAACATTGTTAGCCATGAAAACTGCAGCAGACCGACAATTTTATTTCCATTTTTAAAAATTTGACAAAGAATCCTGATTTGTCGACGATTTCTCTCCACTTCGGACCACTGTGCGATCAAAATTTTTGAAACTGAACACAGTTAAATGCTTGGGGGCCCAATAAGAACATTTACAGCCGAAACTCATCAAAAATGTAACTTTTTCGTCCATTTTCCCCGTCTTTTTGCTGTAGAAATGCCGTCCAGAATGATGGCGATTTGGCAACTTTGCCCCCTCATTTCTCAAAAACCGTGCGTATACTCAAGCTAAAATTTTAATTAGAGTTTTAGGGTATCATAAGGTATCGTTTGGGCCCGGTTTCAGAAAAATCCCTTCTGGCCCAAATTGTGCCAAAAAACGGTCGTTTTTGGCGTCGCTCTTTCCAGTATCTTGAGCTATTCCAGAACTTTTTTCTGGAATTCAGTCTTCCCAAAAGTCTTGTTAAATTCCTAGAAAAAGCAAAAACAGAGAAGGAAAGCACAAACCTCTCGCAAATAGGAAAACCAGGATAAGCATATCTCTCACACGAAAGACTCGCCTATCACCCAAAATATTGGCCTAATTTCCATCATATCTCGTATTCATGCAATATAAAACTGTACCTCATTAACCCACTCTGCTTAAACCAACAATTCAACAAAAAGATAACAGAAGGAACTGATATTTTGCAGGAAGCAAGAGTTTATAGTATGAAGTGTCAAAGCTGTTCAAAAGTGTATGCAGGGAAATCATTGTAGTCTGTAAAAATTAGAGCACAAGCACATAATGCTTGGCACACGTAAAACCGGGAGACAGACAAAACGGCAATAGCGGCCCATTTTTCGACGGAGGCCCAACTTCGTATAAATTTTTAGTTAGGATTGATTAGACAAGAAAACCCCACAAGAAACCCACATGTTGGAAAAATATCTACGAATTCATAAACGTAAGGAACAGCTGATGAATCTGGAGATTCCACCTCTCAACACTCTGTTTAAAGTCCTTCAGAGATGAGACAAGATCCGCGGAAAACATCCAGCAGCCGCTGCACGGTGGATCGAGTCAATAGGGAAGGTCGGAAAAAATTTGGAAACTTTAAACGCTTATAACTCCGTTCATACAAACCTTTGAGGTTCTAAGAGTGGTTCCATGGGTTCCCTCGTGAAAGGTGCTTCCATAAGCACCCCTTGAAATTTAAAATGTGACCAAATAAACATCAAAATTTGCAGTTTTAGTCAAAAATCTCATGTCCGACCTCTGTTATTGACTCGATCCACTGTGCGCCGTCGCTACAACCAGCTACGTCGCGGATGATGGCCGGACATATACGCGCCGAAACGGGTCGACAACCAAGTTCAACAAATCTAAAACGGTTAAAAAAAGGCTAAAACCAATGATCTTCGTCGGACCTTTTACCGTCAAAAAACCCTAAAATTACGTGCATTCAGGGTAGTGGGTTCAATTTTGGCTTGAAGGACTGGGGGTAGAGCCGATTTTGGCCTCCAACGACACCGCTCATTTTTATTTTTTTTTTTTCAAACAAATTGAAATAATCAAAAAGAACTTGGGTAGTTTTCTAAATTCTCTCCGAATGAAGGAGGAGTGCAGCACATGAACGCCTCCCAGAGGAAAGAAACCTAACTGCATTTAAAGAGCGACTTCCATATGATTTTCTTTGCATCACCGAACAACGAAACAATTATCCGTCCAAAAGTATTTTTCGAAACTGTCGGTAGTCATGCATTTCTCAATCTCAAAAGTTCAACAGGTCACTAGACACGGCACGGAAATAGATGGGGGCGTGAAAACCAGCCTGAAACTTCGGCAAGCGGTCGCTGGCGGCAAGTGAACTTGCGCCATCTAGTGAGCTTTATAATGGTTTTTAACGCACATCGGCTAATAATTCCAACTTACTGAAAAAAAATAACTTAAACCAAAATTAATTCTTGAAAATTTACTTGATATCGCATCCAGAGGCCATAATTTTGCAGAAACTCTCACGGTTAAGGCCTTACTCCCCTTACCCTGCTCCCTTTTATTTCACAGAAAAAGGTCATTAAAATAATGAAGCACGAGAGAGCCGGTCTAAATTCCTGCAACACAGCGACCCCCCCCCCCCCCCCCCNAAGTCTCTTTATTTTTATTGCATAGGTTCCATCATTGATAGCGCTGTCAATTGATACTAGGATTACAGGGGAAAATTATATGCGCACCAAAATATCGTATTAAAAGATTCAAAATTCCGAGCCTCATTATGGTCACCCATGGAAAATGAGAGGGAGTAATCATGGACTCTTCTGCTCCTCTCGACCTGCGGGTCGATTATTAAAAGTTTAAAGCAGCTCGATAAGATATCGAACTGCGATATATTGCATGATTAACATAATATGTCCACGGGACTATGTCTCAGACATAGACCAGACGTAGTGTCTGGTCGTGTAAGGTCGACATAGTTTTCATAATTGGACCGCAGTCCCATATTATGGAAACGTTAATATTACGTTGATAAGTTTTTTGGATCGAAAGGTGGGAACAGTTGTTCATGCCCCAAAACATCATATGAAAAAAAAAGAAGAAAAACCCTAAAAATTATGGATTCTGACTACCACCAGGAGGACATAAGAAGGTAGCATTTTTACTGGTCAGGTTGGCCTAGTGGTCAGCGCGTCTGACTTTAGGTCAATAATAGGACCCGGGTTCGTATCCCGGGAGAAGCGGAACTGACGAGTATCTGCAGAAACAGATTCTACATGGCCTTAATCCCTGAATATTCCTGCTAAAGTTCCTGAAAATATCAAGGAAAAATCCTATATATTAAAATGCAAAGTCCCGAATCTTGGGGCATTAACTTTGAGAGAACCACCGGACCGATTTGCATGGGATTTTTTTTAAATGAAAGCCCCTGAGCTGTAGATTTGCAGGCTGTGATCGTTTTTTTGATTTTCTCAAATTTTCTCCTATAATTTTCTAAAATTGTCTTCGATGCATTAAAACGGAGGTCCGAATCTTTGGACGTTAACTTTGAGAGAACCACCGGACCGATTTGCATGGGGTTTTTTTTAAATGAAAGCCTGTGATCTGTAGATTTACAGGCTGTGGTCGTTTTTTCGTTTTTCTCAAATTGTCTTACTTTTATCAACGAGTGAAGTTTAGCTGGGCTCAAATTTTCTCCCATTTATTCAGACTAAAGTCCGCATTTTGGGGCATTAACTTTGAGAGAACCATCGGACCGATTTGCATGGGGTTTTTTTTAAATGAAAGCTTCTGATCTGTAGATTTGCAGGCTGTAATTGTTTTTTCGATTTTCTCAAATTTTCTTACTTTTATCGACGAGTAAAGTTCAGCTGTTTTGAGCGGTCATCCGGCCGCTACCTGCTTGCCCGTCCCTAGATACCCCCTCTAGGGTCTCAGCCACCCCTCCCACCACGTTCTTTCGGCTATCTCCGTTTTCTTTCGTATAGCTCTCCTTCCACCAACCTCAAAGAAGGAAGTTTGGGTCGCATCGTCGTTCGTCATAGTGATGGCGATTCTTCGACTGAGAATCGATTCTCCTGGATCGATCTGAATCGGCTAGGGAGAATCGATCCGATTCAAAGATCGGGTCAAAAGAATCGATCTTTCAAAAGATCGATCCAACGATCCGATCTTTCCCGCCGATCTGAACTTTCAAAATGAGCCAATAACATATGTTTAAATTTGTCATGTGACGATTCTGAATCGATTCAAGATCGTCACGTGACGATCTTTTAGTACATCGTGGAGTAGATTTGTAAACGTATAATGGATGAATATAAATCATTTGTCTGATAATAGTTGATCACAGAATAGTAATCAGTGTGTGGAGATTTTTGATTGAAATCGATCCTATCTAGTATTTTCATTTTCTCCGATGGAATCGTGATGTGACGATCCGATCTTTTCCGATCCGATCTACACGAATCGTCACGTGACATAAGATCGTTCCCGAACCGTTCCGATCCGATTCGATCCGATCTTTTGTGTATAATCAAAAAGAGCTGAAAAGAATCGGAGAAGATCGGGACTCATAGGAAGGAAATTGAGCAGGATTATGTGCGATAAGCTCTTAGAAAAAATGTTTGTCCTCATTTTCAATCAAGTTGATAGGTTCTAGGAGAAAAGAAACCAAAAGTTAGAAATGATAGAAACCGATTCTTTCGATCCGATTCTAGGTTGAAAGAATCGATCCACGCGAAAGATCGGCGGGAAAGAATCGATTCGATCTTATCGATCTTTTGGTCTCAGAGAATCGATCTTTTGAAAGATCGATCCAAGAATCGCCATCACTAGTTCGTCAGTTCGTCACTCGCCACCCACATTCCTTCGCCATCCCTCGGCTACTCCGCCTCACAGCTTCTTGATATCCTGGCATCTTATTCTCTGCGGCTTGACTGACCCTGACTTATTAACTGCAGTATTGCGTATTGCTAACAACACGTATTGTTACAGACATTTTATTCATCATTATTAAGTAGATTCAACTAATTGCTCCGATTCCAATTAAGGTACTCACCACCATTGCTAGCTGTGGAGGGCGCCCGTAGGGCGTCCGGAGCAGCTAGTACTCGTATATTTCCTCAAAAATAAACATTTTAGGTATAGTAGGAAACTTGGCAACCCTCGAATGTTCGTACTGCGTTTTTCCTCGGTTCAGCGCAGTAGTGTAGACATCAACATATATTTGAAAAAGTAACTCAAAATTCTAAATTCCAGATGGTGATTGAAGAAAATTGGGAGGGGGCATGGATTTTTCTGCAGTGGCTATTTTTGAAAGTTGTCAACACGGTTTTGCCTACATTTAAATGTATGTTTAACAATCGATTCTTGGTGAGGCGAATTGCCTCAATTACAGTCGACATTTTTAATGAATTTATATGGCGAAAAAACAGTGATGCCAACTTTTAAGAATCGCCAATGATTTTTCTTCTCTTTTCGCTTACCCACATAAGTACACCCTATCATTGGTTGCGCGCCTTTACTTTTCTCACATCAAGAAGGAAAGAAAACTGTACAGACGCTGTAGGTAATATCGTGGTAAAAAAAACCTAAAAATTTCTGGCTCCAGATGGTCACCTACTTCAAAAGGAAGGGGGGGGGGGGTTGTCTT